CTAAGTGGGTTCCTTCTTTGTGTATCTTGGGGAGACCATAAAGCTTAGGGCATCTGGATGATTTCTCTCTGGGTATGATTCTTTGCTGAATCTCTTCGCTGATGGGGGAGGCTTTTATTTTGGATCTGGTGGTTTTTTCCAGGTAGGTGGTGGGGTCTGTGTTTAGGGGTTTGTATATGGAGTCTTGGAGTAGGTTTGGTTAATTTGGTTTGGTAGTCAGATGTGTTCATAACCACCGTGGCATTGCCCTTGTCTGCTGGTAGGATTATTATGTTGGTGTCTTCTTCAGGTTAAGTAGTGCTGTCTGTTCCTCTTTGGGTAAGTTACTTTTGGGTGGCTTGCTGGTGCAGAGGATATTGGTGATTTCGAGTCTGATTCTGTTTGCATCGTCGGGGTTGATTTTGGTCAGGCTGGTTTCAACTCCGCATATAATGGTTTCAGTGGGGATGCTTTTGGGAGCGACTGCAAAGTTGAATCCTTTGGAAAGGACATTGGTTTCGGCTTTGGTGAGGATCCTATCTGAGATGTTATGCACTGTTTGTTTCATGTGTGGCTGTGAGGGTGGAGGGGATTGTTTCTGGCGTTCTTGTAGTCTTCGGAGTTTGTTGGTGTGTGTGTCTGTCTTGAGGGTGGTCTGTGTTTCGGCTCTCCAGATGGCAAGTTGTTTGGATTTGTCCCAAAGTGCGGGGTGGATCTTGTTGCTGAGTTTGAGGTGAAGTGTGAGGAGATCTTTGTTGATTCGGTCTAGGAGGACCTACCAGTGACCTACTCGTGAGCTTTGATGTCATATCCCTCTTCACCCAAGTACCAATCAAAGAAGCCTTGACAGTTATCCAAAACAAATATAACCCCCCCAAGCACATCTTAGATCTGACCAACCACTGCCTATCCAACATATACTTCATCTATAATGGACAGAAATACAAACAAACAGAAGGAGCACCCATGGGATCACCCCTCTCACCTGTCATTGCCAACCTCTATATGGAATACTTTGAAACCCAAGCCCTAGAAAAATCCGATCACAAACCCCAAACTCTGGCTCAGATATGTGGACGACACCTTCATAATCTGGCCACATGGGAAAGAAAAACTGGACAACTTCCTCACACACCTCAACAGCCTACACCCCAAAATACAGTTCACCATGGAAACAGAAGTGAACAACCAACTTCCCTTCCTGGATGTCTTAGTCTACAGAAAATCCAATGGCTCCCTAGGACACACTATATACCAGAAGAAAAAACACACACAAACCGCTATCTGCACGCACTCTCACACCACACCACCCTGCCCAGATCAACTCTGTAGCCAAGACACTCATTTCCAGAACAAAACGCTTAGCTGACGAACAACACCTAAAAACCGAACTACACACCCTCACTAACGTACTCACATCCAATGGATTCCAAAGAAATAAGATCACCAACCTAATCCAAAAAGAAACCCCCACTAAAATCCAAGACAGAGAACAAGAAAACGGCAAGGCCCTCCTCCCATACATAAAAGGCACCACAGACAGAATAAGCAAAATCCTCCACAAACATAACATCAAGACAGCATTCTGCACAAACCGAAAAATATCCACCATCCTAAGGAACCCCAAAGACAAAATTGAGTTAGAAAATCAAGGAGTATATGAAATCCCATGCACCGCCTGCCCCACCACATACATCGGACAAACCAACAGACGAATAAGTGCACGCATAGAAGAACACAAGAACTCAGTCAGAAAAGAGGAACCAACTTCTTCCCTGGTCCAACACCTTAAAGCCACAGGACATGATATTGACTTTAAAAAGACCAGAACTATCGCCAAAACTGAACACTTTAACAACAGAATAATCAGAGAAGCCATTGAGATAGAAAAACGCCCACACAGCATGAACAAACGAGACGATACCTCCCGCCTACCAGCCATTTGGAAACCCGCCCTTATTGACAAACGAGTCCCTAACACGACGAATGACACCAGACCCACACTCACGAGTGCCACACCTGATGTCACCACCACACATCCACGCAGAAAGCAGACTCAAACCCACACTGATAATGAGCCACGACCAAGGACCAGAAGCCAGACCGCAGCTGCATCATTAGCCACTTTAAACCCCTCCAATCCATACATGAAGCAGACTGACACCCACCATGAAGAGCTCGCACGGCCACAAACACGAAGCCAAACAACAACAACGCAGCTCACCAGCTCAAATCCCCCTGCAACTCAGACTAAGCTGAGCACAACCAAGCCCCCACCCAAACAGAACACAACCCCAGCCAATCAGAGCACAGCCAAGCCCCTAACCAATCAGAACACACCTCCACCCAATCAGAACACAGCCAAGTTCCCACCCAATCAGCTCACACCTCCACTAGCAGTTAAAAGGAAGAGACAGCTGCGATCTCACATTGCTCCTGGAAGCACGAAGCCGAGAACACCAGCCTGAAGATGACGAATGAGACTTCGTCGAAACGTTGCCAAGACACTTCCAATTTTACGTGGGAGAAGACCCGAATAACCAAAGACCTACATATATATATATATATTATATATATATATATATATGTATGTATGTATGTATGTATGTATGTATGTATGTATGTATATATATTATATATATAATATATATATATATATATATATATATATATATATATATATATATATAAAATATAATATAATATAATATATAATATATATAATTAATATAAATAATATAATATAAAAAGGGACATGGTGGCTCAGTGGCTAAGACGCTGAGCTTGATCAAAAGGCTGGCAGTTCAGCAGTTCGAATCCCTAGTGCTGCATAACAGGGTGAGCTCCCATTACTTGTCCCAGCTTCTGACAACCTAGCAGTTCAAAAGCATGTAAAAAATGCAAGTAGAAAAATAGGGACCACCTTTAGTGGGAAGGTAACAGCGTTCCGTGCGCCTTTGGCATTTAATCATGCCAGCCATATGATCACAGAGACGTCTTCGGACAGCCCTGGCTCTTCGGCTTTGAAACGGAGATGAGCACCACCCCCTAGAGTTGGGAACGACTAGCACATATGTGCGAGAGGAACCTTTACCTTTATATTATAATATTTTATAACTGGTGAGCCAGCGGTGTGCTGCAACTGCCGAAAAAGCCAACAGAGTTCCATTAGTGAGATTCCAATGGCACAGTACCATTAATTATGGCTTTCTCTGTCCATCCTTGAGTTGTTGGGGAACTAGATGGCACGAAACTGGCTCTCCCTGTTGCCAGTCCTTTTCGTGCCTCTGTTATTTCTATTCTCAGTCATTAGCAGTCACTTGACTCCCCTTCAAAATAGTGATTGACGAAGCCTGGCCCGTTTGATACACCTTGAGGCTGACTGTGCATAGTGTTGGAGTAAGGAGAGAAATACCACTTCAGCACCTGCACAGCTAATGGAGTCTTTGGGATGTCTCCTTCATGAGTCAAGCAAAAGGTGAAGACAACCTCCAAAGGCAGAATTACAAACAGTGATATCACAAACAGGGAGTGTTTGTGGCATGATTTAAGTGCAAGCAGGGACACGGCCAGATAAAAACAAGCCACAATGCCAATATCAAGGAACTGGGTAAACAGATATGTCATTAGCAAGTACTGGAAGCTTCTGAGGCTCAGCGCCAGCCACAAATAAGCGAACAGGGAGTTCCATAACTCAGGCACTTATATGAGGAATGGCTCTTCTGGATTCTTATTTGGTGAATCATGAGCCAATGTGACAGTCTCAAGAGGAACATATCCATCAGGACTGGGGGCGATACGATAGCCTTGGCAACCCCTTAGATATTAGATATAATCTAAGGGGTTGCCACAAAGAAGAGGGGGGGTCAATCTATTCTCCAACACACCTGAAGGCAGGACAAGAAGCTGATAGAAACTAATCAAGGAGAGAAGCAACCTGGAACTAAGGAGAAATTTCCGAACAGAGAACAATTAACCAGTGGAACAACTTGTGGGTTCTCCGACACTGGAAGCTTTTAAAGAAAGGACTGGACAGTCATTTGTCAAAAATGGTATAGGGCCGTGTTGGCGAACTTATGGCATGCAGAGCCCTCTCTGTGGGCACGCGTGCTGTCGCCCCAGTTCAGCCACCTGGTTGTCGGGTTTCCAACGTGTGCATGCACGCCAGCCAGCTGGTCATCAGGTTTCTGGCGCTCGCGCGCACATGGACAAACTCACCTTCCGGTTTGGGCACTCTTTGCCTAAAAGGTTCGCCATCACTGGTATACGGTTTCCTGCTTGATCAGGAGATTGGACTAGAAGAGCTCCAGGGTCCCTGCCAACTCTGTTATTCTGTTATTTATAAATTATTTATATATGTCTAGTACTACATTAATATCATTTACATTATAAAAGAGACCCCCCCCCAACATATCACCTTGTGTATATTTTGTGCTTTAAATATTAATCTATCTTAAATTCTTACTTATTTTTAATCTACAGCACACTCCCATAGATACAATATTACATTTTGTGCATTCTGTGCCAGCTCTTAGCCACCTCACAGGTTTCTTGTTTATTTTTGCATCCCCGATAAATAGAAGTAGGCATTCGAATGTTTTCCCCACGTCCCAGTGGGTCATCTTGTGCACCCCCTAGTAAGTGCATACCAGGGTTGAAATGCTCCCAGATTGGACTGGATCGCCCGATCTGGTAGCGATCTTGGCCCGTGGTTCGGTGATCCGGTAGCGATGGCGGAGCAAAGCTCCACCCACCCACCCGGGTGTCATTACTTCCTGGTTTTAACCAGGAAGTAATGTGTTTTTTACCTTCTACGTATGCACGCAGTGTGTGAGCTTCTGAACCGGTAAGGAAGGTAAGTAGATGTCACCCCTGGTGTGTACCCCATTTTGCAGACAGAGTTTCCTGCTGGAACATGTGTGTGTGTGGATTAGAAGATCTCCAAAGTCCCTTCCAACTCTGTTATTCCATCTTTGAGGATGTTCAAGTACCGTACTAAAACGTTGTTCTCCTCCATCTAGATGTTGAGTCCCCTCCAGAAGTGCGGCTCGGAAGGTTGTCTCCTAGAATGTGACTTCCTGCCATGGCACCGGAGCGGCCTTCGGAAGCAACATCAGAGCTGTGAGGATCCGGAGCTGAGGAACGACTGTGAAAATCAGGAGAAACCTTCCACCCCAAGCATTCGTTTAGATGACACCGAAGTGGTCAACTGTCCTCAGCTCCCGCTTCAAGACCCGGGAGGGTTCTGGCGCTCTCGAAGCGAGGGACGTTTGGATCAACAAGGGGCACCATGCCAAAGGGGGACTGAGGAAGGGGACAAAACAGGAAGTGGGTGGAGCTTGCCATCCCCCAAATCTTTGAGGAAAGAGCGGCAACTGGGCGAGAAAGTGGCAGCGGCAAAGCAACACCTAAGGAATTTCTTTGGAGGATCAAGCAAAGTCAGTGGAACTTCTTAATGCTTTCTTACTAACCCTCTTACTAATGGTCTGTAGAGATTTTCAGTCATCCAGATCACGGCTGTCCCCAAGGTGCTTTTTCAGGCGGCAACTGGACTTCCTTGTTTCTTCCTTTGAGGATGTTTTGCTTCTCATCCAAGAAGCTTCTTCAGCTCTGACAGGATAGTGGGGAATGGAAGGATTTATATTCCTTGTAGACAAGCTGGCCATTTGCATCCTTTTAGAGGGTCATTGAAGCACTTGGACGTTTATCTGTGTCCTCAGGGTCACCTGAAGTAGTGCAAATGGTTCCTGTAGTCTGCAATTTTTCCTCCTCTGGAAATCCATTCCTACTCCCACACCATTCAAAGGGTGTTCATCCCAAATTGGATAGCTAAAAGTCTGTAGAGATTCTCAGTCGTCCAGGTCATGATTGTCCCAGAGGTTGTCCCATGCCTGCTTTTTCAGGAGGCAGCTGGACTTTCTGGTTTCTTCTCTTTGAGGATGTTTCGCTTCTCATGCAAGAAGCTTCTTCAGCTCTTGACAGGATGACCAACTGTCTGCAAGGAACATAAATCCTTCCATTCCCCACTATCCTGTCAGAGCTGAAGAAGCTTCTTAGATGAGAAGCGAAACGTCTTCAAAGAAAAAACGAAGTCCAGTTGCCTCTGGTTAAGCTAATTCGTGCTTAGTGCAATGTCTGAACCAGGTCGTTTGTCTCCTTCTATAACAGTGTTTCTCAACCTTGGCTGCTGGACGATGTGTGGACTTCAACTCCACTCTTCAGCTAGCTCTGCTGGCTGGGGAATTCTGGGAGTTGAAGTCCACACATTGTCCAGCAGCCAAGGTTGAGAAACACTGTTCTATAAGAAGGAAGGAAGCTCCTTTTGATCCGGCTAGAACAATCCTGGCCATCCCAATCCTGTTTCTCAATCCTGGCCATCCCTTTTCTCAAGAGGCAACTGGACTTTCTGGTTTTTCTTTGAAGACGTTTCACTTCTCATCCAAGAAGCTTCTTCAGCTCTGACTGGATAGTAGGGAATGGAGGGATTTATACTTCTTGCAGACAGCTGGTCGTTTGCGTTCTTTTAATTTAAACCTCCAAGTGGCCTCAACGACTTGCCAAAAGAATGCAAACGACCAGCTGTCTGCAAGGAGTATAAGTCCTTCCATTTCCCACCATCCAGTCAGAGCTGAAGAAGCTTCTTGGATGAGAAGCGAAACGTCTTCAAAGCCTCTTGAAAAAGCACCTTTGGGACATCTTTCTAATGCTTTCTTTCTCCTTTTCAACCCTCCCCAAAATTCAAGCCCAGATCTTTTTTTTTTTATTTGCCTATCCATTATTTTATTTTGTTTTAGTTTGCTTGTCTAAACATCCAAGTGTCTTTATTCCCACTGGTTTTAATCTCTGGAATTTGCTGCTGTGAAAAATGTATCCTGTTAAGATTAAATAGCTCATAATTAATGATCAAGGAAAAGGTTATGGTCGAGGGCCTGGGATACAGAACTCGGAGGTTTTCCCCGCAGAGGCTAGTGGATTACTCAGAGAGACCGTGACGCCTTCTCTTGCCATTCTCCAGCCTCCCTTCCCCCATACCTGATGATGTTTCAAAACAATATTTTAGTTTTAAAAAATTAATAATAATAAACAAGAAGCCGACATGCTGCAGAACAAAGGGTTCCCCTCCAGCAGAATCTTCATCAGCCAAAATGACCGTGTCCCTCAAGCTGTCAGCGTTCCAGAAAACCCCTGTCAGCCTTGGAAGCCATTTTAGGCCGGAAGCTTCCATGCTGCCACAAGCATTTATAGCAAAGAAAATTTGGTGCCTAGGTGTCAGTCAAGGAGAATATTTGGTAGCTCAAATCAATGGAGATTCTTAGTCATCCAGGTCATGGTTGTCCCAAAGGTGCTTTTTTTACAAGAGGCAAATGGACTTCCTGGCTCTGAGCTGAAGAAGCTTCTTGGATGAGAAGCGAAACGTCTTCAAAGAAAAAAACCCTCCGAAAGTCTAGTTGCCTCTTGTGGAGGTGGGGAAACATCTTTGGGATTTGTAGCTCAGGGTTGAAATGGGGTGGGGTGCTTGGTGCTCCCTGAATTTGGTTGCTTTCTTGCTGACATTTCATTACCCAAATTAAGTAACATCATCAGGGCTAGTGTTCCCATTCGCGTGCCTTCGTTTGACGCCCGTATGTGGTACCAATAAAGGAGAATTCAGGGTTGAAATGAGGGGTCCTAGGCTAGCACTGATGATGTTATCTAGTTGGGTAATCGAACGTCGGCAAGAAAAACAACCAAGCTCAGATGGCACCAAGGACCAAGAAAAGAGACAAAGGTTATTTGAGGTTGCAGAGAGCATTGCTGAAGCTGTTCAGGGTGGCAGTAAGCAACTTCACAGGGTAAAGTAAAGATTCCCCTCGAATATATGTGCTAGTCGTTCCTGACTCTAGGGAGCGGTGCTCGTCTCCGTTTCAAAGCCGAAGAGCCAGCGCTGTCCAAAGACGTCTCCGTGGTCATGTGGGCAGCATGACTCAACGCCAAAGGCGCACGGAACGCTGTTACCTTCCCACCAAAGGTGGTCCCTATTTTTCTACTTGCATTTTTTTAACGTGCTTTCGAACTGCTAGGTTGGCAAAAGCTGGGACAAGTAACGGGAGCTCACCCCGTTACGCAGCACTAGGGATTCGAACCGCTGAACTGCCAACCTTTCGATCGACAAGCTCAGCGTCTTAGCCACTAAGCCACCGCGTCCCTACTTCACAAAAAGTACTTCCCAGGATACTTTCAGGCTTTTTTGTGCCAGCCATATGCACCACGTCACTGACAACGATGCGATGAGTAGCAAAGCCCCGGGCCCAACAGATCTGCGAGATGCTCATGTTGTGTCACAATTCCAAAGGTATCCTCAAACAGGGTTTCTTTAGAGACACAAGGTAGAAATCTCAGTGGAAAGTAGCCAGTGCGGGAAAGGGGATCGAAAAAGGCAAGAAGATGGTAGTCATGGCAGTACGTTTATAGCCCTGCCTGTGTACATCCGTGCAATATATATATATATATTTTAAATTTGACTTATATGCTGCCCTTCTCTGGAGACTCAGGGCGGCTTACAATGCGTTAAGCAATAGCCTTCATCCTTTTGTATATTTATACAAAGTCAGCTTATTGCCCCCACAAACTGGGTCCTCATTTTACCTACCTTAGAAAGGATGGAAGGCTGAGTCAACCTTGAGTCTTGGAGAGATTCGAACCTGCAGTAATTGCAGGCAGCTGGTCTTAATAACCAGCTTAATAACAGGGTGCCTTAGACCACTGTACTACCAAGCTCTTATTAATGCACTGCAAAAGGACTTCAGTTTTGCTTTCCTGAAAACACTTTATCCCAGGAGATGCCAATGGGAAAAAAAAAAAAAACATCGTCTAAAGGAAAAACAGGTCTGGTCCCAGAGCAAAGGAAAAAAAAAAAATTGGATTTCAACTTGCATAATTTCCTGTCACGCAGAGCTTTGAGCTTTCAGGTCCCAAATGAAAACCCTCTAATTGAAAGCCATCATTTTCAAGCCAGGGGGGAATCACGTAAGTGGAGGAACCATTCTGCCCCTGGGACTCTATGATTCTCGGCCCCCATTTTATATTTGGCATTTGTTGTGTGGCTACCATGGCCAGTCCTTTGTGAAGCAAAACAGTTCCTTGCTAGCTCAAGGCAGTGTGTGTGTGTGTGTGTGTGTGTGTGTGGTACCGCGTTGCCAGAGGTACGAAGTTCAAATGATATTTTTCCATAACTGCAAGAATAAAAGGATACTTCAGTCTTAATCAGAGTCAGGGTGGATTTGATTTAAATCGAGTTGATTTAAATCACAATTTAAATCATGATTTAAATCACTAGTAAAAAGGCTTGATTTAAATCGACTCGATTTAAATCATAATTTTTAAAGAGCAACTGTCATCTCTGCTACTCCTTTGACCCGCTGTTGACTCACCGATAGTCCCAGTGTTGCAGAATATACAGCCTCATGCTACATAACTAAGCTCCATTTCATGCTGAATAAACTAAATTATTTATGTATCTTAAATAGAAAACTACCTTAACGATAGATTTTTACCCCAAAAGTTTTTTATTAAAATAAATTAGATAAAAATAAAAAAAATCTGATTTAAATCAAAAAAATCCGATTTAAATCAAAAAAATCTGATTTTTTGATTTTTTTAAAAAAATCATTGATTTTTATCCACCCTGCTCAGAGTAGACCTAAATCATTTATAACACAACTCATATGTGAGAATGAACCCAGAGTCTAAATTGGTTCCTTAACGATCTGACCACTGACCAGTCTAAGGAAAAGGTTGAGCCATTTTTTTCTATAAAGTAAATTCCCAGCTGGATAATAACAGAGTTGGAAGGGACCTTGGAGGTCTTCTAGTCCTACCCCTGCTCAGTAGGAGACCCTACCATTTCAGACATATGTCTATCCAGTCTCTTTTTAAAAACCTCCAGTGATGGAGCACCTCCACTTTGTGAAGGCAAGTCGTTCCGCTGGTTAATTGTTCTCACTGTCAGGAAATTACTCCTTAGTTCTAGGTTGCTTCTCTCCTTGGTTAGTTTCCATCCATTGCTTGTTGCCTTGCCTTCAGGTGCTTTGGAAAATAGGTTGACCCTCTCCCCCACTCCTCTTTATGGCAGCCCCTCCAATATTGGAACACTGCTATCTTTTTTTTCTTTAAGTTGGCCTGTGGGTCATGATTTCTTGTCAAAAGGAAAGTGTTGCAATATTGCTTTTAATCTCGATCTGCAAAATCTCGATCCAAGGTGGGATTCTTTGCAAGGTTTAGAAAGCCGAGTTTCTCTTAAAGAGTTTGGGAGAGCAGAATTGACGTACGGTTTCCTGCCTAAGCAGGGGGTTGGACTAGAAGACCTCCAAGGCCCCTTCCAACTCTTGTTATTCTAAGAGAGCAGCGACTAACATTTCTAACATGAATGGATTGTGTTCTGTCCCCATCCCACACACGCACCCCCACAGACAGCCCGGAGTTAATAAGCCACACGACAAAATCTTTGAAGATAAAGCTGGCAGCAACCCAGTGGTTAGCTGCCAATTCAGACTTTACTCACACAAAACAAAGATTAGACTGCAAGCATTCCGATAAAGCAGTCAAAGTTTCCGCAATACAAGGATTAGTCCAAATGCAGTCCGAGAAGGCAGGCAGAAGTCCAGTAACGCAGAGATCATGGATTATTTCTAGTTTTTGCTCGTCACAAACTGAACCGGCCACCACACCCACATTTATACCCTGTGGGGTGTGGTCCAGTGATTCAGCTAATCTCTGGCACGCCTTCCCCTCTGCTGTGCACGCTTCTCCCTGTGCCTCTGCCGAGGGTCCAGCCAGCACTTATCTCCCTTGTCGCTGTCCACCTGTGGCTGCGGGGACGTACTTGGCTCTGGGCCTATCTTTTGGCCTTCGGTGTCCTCCGGAGGCATTGCGAGAGAGGAGGGTCCTGGAGAGGGAGGCCTTGCCAACTCCTCTCCCTCACTCTCAGAGTCTGCATCGATAGCCCAGGCTCAGGCAACGGAGCCACAACAGATTGGCACATATTTGTATGTCCCTCCTCCTCCCCCCCCAAGCAGGACTGAGATTCCTTGATTGCTGTGGTTTTCTGAAAATGAATGTATTTTATGTCTATAGAGATTCTTAGTCATCCAGGCCGTGGTTGTTCCAAAGATAGTTTTTCAAGAGGCAACTGGACTTCCTTGTTTTTCTTTGAAGATGTTTCACTGCTCATCCAAGAAGCTTCTTTAGGTCTGACTGGATGGTGGGGAATGGAAGGATTTATAAACTCCTTGCAGACTGCTGGCCATTTGCATTCTTTGAGAGAGCCGTTGAGGCCACCTGGAGGTTTAACTGTGTCCTCAGGATCACCTGAATAGTGCAAATAGGTATGGAGCCTTCTTAGAACTGCTGAAAGGACTGCGTTGTTGACTGGAAATAGATGATGCAGTATCCCTCCCCCTCTATACATCCTCCCATTCCCCACCATCCAGTCAGAGCTGAAGCTTTTTTGGATGAGAAATGGAAAATCTTCAAAGAAAAACAAGAAAGTCCAGTTGCCTCTTGAAAAAGCACCTTTGGGACAACGCTTTGTATGCATGGAAAAAGGTGGGTGGGGACAAGCTTTTTCTCAAAGGAGATTTTGGGGCAAGGGGAAAAGATTTTTCTGTGCTTCTCGTTCCCTAAGCTAATAAGATGTTTACAAGTTAAGGCTCATGTTTCTCACCTGACAGTGGCAGGAAACGATGCAGTTTTCAGCAACTTTGATTAAAAATTTGTTCAGAGGCTGCCTTCAATTGCCCATCTCTGTTGTGGAATGAAACATAGGGCAGTAAATCAAAACCCCTGTGAAAACCTTATAACCCACGTGATTCTCGGTAAATTTCAGGGGAAGCCCATTATGTGTGAATTATCACAAATGAGCACTGGATGCAAATTCTGAACATATATACATTTTGGTAATCTGCCGAAAGAGCTCTCATTCAGAATGTTTGAAAAAGAATCTCATCCACAAGGATTTTTCACATGGTGATCAGCAAGATATTCATGCCTACTTCTTTGTATGTTTTTAGTAGATGGGTAAAAATGTTTGAATTCCCACTATACAGTAGTGGCCAAAATTGTGGAAACCTTTTGGGAAAAGTGTAATAGCTAATATCACCACTTTTGTTTTTGGAGTAGTACCATAAAATTATATATCAATGGAAAGATAATTTAATCAAGGATGTAATGCAATAACTTTTAGGAAGGATTTGCTATTAGAATAGCAGTTACAGTGTAAAGAAGAAAAGTGAAACATGTAGAAAAAACGAGATATACAAAAATTATCACCGTAGAAAAAACGAGATATTCAAAAATTATCACCATGTCAGTTAATATGTAGTTGGGTAACCCTTAGCATGAATGACGGCCTTACAACATCTTCCCATGGATTGAACCAAGTCTTTTAGTTCTGCAACAGTTATAATGTGAAACCAAGATTGAATGGTTGCTTCTATTAACTGGGTTTTATTGCTGGGTCGCTTCTGACTAACAAGTTTCTTTAGTTGGCTCCATAGATTTTCAATTGGGTTAAGTTAAGGTCTGGGCTATTCCCAAGGCATTCCAGCAGTGGAATAGGATTATCTTAAAACTCCAAAAAAAAAAAAAAAAAAAAAAAAGTGGTGTTATTAGCCATCAAACCTCAAAAATAGATTTTTTTCCCCAAAAGGTTTCCACACTTTTAAGCCACTACTGTAGGTAGGTAATCCTCAACTTAAAATTGTAATTGAGCCAGGAATTATGGTTCTAAGTTGTGGCCATTAAGCAAGTCACCGTGTGACTGGATTTTATGACATTTTTTTTGGCGATCATAAATGCTGCTGTTGTTACGTGACTCCATTTTACCCAATGGGCATTTTTGGTTGGAAATCAGATGTAAATTCTGAAAATCAGCAAAAAAAAAAAACAACCATTAAAAATCATGGTCACGCAACTGCGGGATGCCTCAAATGGCTGTAAAGGCGAACTAGTTGCCAAGAGTCAAAAATGTTGTCATGGGTTTGCGTGCCACCACTGTAGCTCTGAAATCAGGTTGCGAATAGCTTTTGAGGACATCATGGCCGGCTAAGGAATTCTGGGAGTTGAAGTCCACCCCTCTTCAAGGTTCAAGGCCAAGGTTTGAGAAACACGTCTCTAAATCCTGATTGGAGAGACTTTTCAATTGGTATTATTGAAACCATTTCATTTCAATGTGTCTCTGTAGGGTTGGAGGGAGGCATGTGAGTTTCTCTGTAACCTTCAGCTAGCTCTGTACTTGGACAGCCATTGTTCTGAACTCCACTTTGCGTGTTTTCAAGGTCTGGAAAATCTGAACAAAGCCTGAAGTTTGTCTGTGACAGGCCACTTGCTTTATTATTAATTGAGTAGTGCTGGGGCTGTCTCTTTTAAGGGTTTATTTATTCAAAGCAAGCATGTCCTACATTTCAGCTAGATAAGTAAAGATAAATAAAGAGACACAGATCCTGCCACTAGACTAACTATTTAAAAAGACATGACATAAAGGGAAGACAAGGAAGGGGAGGGGTGGAAGTATTTGCCTTCCCTGATTTATTGCAAAGAGCCATCTTCTTCTAAAGACTTGGAAAAGCCTAAAGATGGTGTCAACTTACAAATGCCCTCGGCTTGGGTCTTGATAAATCAGACACTGACTTCAGCAGGTGCCTTGGAGTTCCAAGGTTGGCATTTAAAGACTACCAGATCTGGACTGTAGGCCTCTGCAGAGCCACTAGAGGGCAGCAGCAAGGTATGGAAACTCAATCTCTGTTCCCACCTATTGGTCATCCAGATATCTGCAGCCTGGATCCTGTAGCCTTGAGAGTTGGCTGGGAGATGCCCTTTAGGCTCAAATCTTGTTTTTTTGTTTTTTTGTGTGTGTTTCAGTCACTAGCCTCCAGTGTGGAATCGGACATAGGGTCAGACTGTGATGGCAGCCATCAGAACGCACAGCAGAAGCAAAAACGTCCCCGGTGAGTGTCAGTGGAGCTGGATTTAATTGCTGGATTTCAAGCTATAAACCTCAAAATAGCCTTTAAAACTATGTCTTCTTCCTGGGCATGTTCTCTCCCCTCCCCTGTCTCCCTCCCTCTCTCTCTCCTCTCTCCTCTCTCTCTTTTTCTCTCTCTCTCTCACCCCCCTCTCTCTGTCATCTCTCTCCCCCCTCTCATCTCTCTCTGTCATTTCTCTCTCCCCTCTCTTTATCTGTCTCTCTCTCATCTCTTTCTCTCTCTATCTGTCATATCTCCCTCCCTTCCCCCCTCTCTCTTTCTCTCCTCTCTCTTTTTCTCTCAGCCCTCTCTCTCTCATCTCTCTCCCCCTCTCATCTCTCTCTTTCATCTCTTCCCCCCTCTCTTCATCTCTCTCTCATCTCTTTCTCTCTCTGTCTCTGTCATAACTCTCTCCCTCTCTCTCTTTCTCTCCTCTCTCTTTTTCTCTCCCCCCTTTCTCTCCTCTCTCTTCCCCTCTCATCTCTCTCTCTCTCATCTCTCTCCCCCCTCTCTTTATCTGTTTCTCTCTCATCTCTTTCTCTCTGTCTCTGTCATATCTCTCTCCCTCCCTCCCCCTTGCCTCCCTCCTCTCTCTTTTTTTTCTCTCTCTCACCTCTCTCTCTCTCATATCTCTCTCCCCTCTCTTTGTCTGTCTCTCTCTCATCTCTTTCCTTCTCTCTCTCTGCCATATCTCCCTCCCTCCCTTCCTCCCCCTCTCTCTTTTCTTGCTAAAATTTCAACATTACTTTGCCCTAGAGTTTAGAGAGAGGGACTGGCCCAAGGTCACCCAGCTGGCTTTGGGCCTAAGGCAGGTCTAGAACTCCCAGTCTCCCAGTTCCTAGCCTGGTGAATACCTGTAGATATCCGCTACACCTCTTATCTCTGAGCCTCCAAGTTGTAAATTCTGTATCTGTAAAAACAGAAATCATCAGTTCTGGCTAAGCTATACCTGATTGTAAACCTGGGTGGGGGGAAAAAAACACCTCCTCTAGTCCAACTAGGTTATGCCAGATATGCCCATTAATGTGATTGAAGGGAACTATCGTCCAAACAACCTGGAATTCACCAGTTTAGGAAAGGCTGATCTAGATAAAGTAGTTTGAATGTTCTTTTTTTGGGGAGGAGGGGGAAGATAATGTAAATATATCTCATTTCGTCCTGCTGTGAATGGCCTCAGTGCAGATTTTCCTTCAGCTTGATAAATGAGTGTTTATCTCTCCGTCTCCTAACAGCCCTGGAATATCTAATATTAATCCTCCTGATATAGAAGATATCTCAGATGAGTCATTTCACCATACAGTACTTTATTTGAGATTGCGACAGAATGATGGTTCCATCCACCATAGGACCACCATTCCCCATTGCTAGGAAAAGCCTAAATCCTCTCAGTTCTGCTTTTTAAAAATAGAAAATTATGCGTGCATATACCTGTATATATAGGGACGCGGTGGCTCAGCGGCTAAGACGCTGAGCTTGTCGATCGAAAGGTCGGCAGTTCAGCGGTTTGAATCCCTAGTGCTGCGTAACGGGGTGAGGTCCCGTTACTTGTCCCAGCTTCTGCCAACCTAACAGTTCGAAAACACCTAGAAAATGCCGGCCACATGACCACGGAGACGTCTTCGGACAGCGCTGGCTCTTTGGCTTTGAAACGGAGATGAGTACCTCCCCCTAGAGTCAGGAATGAGTAGCACATATATGCGAGGGGAATCTTTACCTTTATCTTACCCTGTGAAGTTGCTTATTGCCACCCTGAACAGCTGCAGGAGTGCTCTCTGCAACCTCAAATAACCTTTGTCTCTTTTGATCACCGTCCCCTAGAGTCAGGAATGACTGGCACATATGTGCGAGGGGAACCTTTACCTTTATACCTGTATATACCTGCAGACAATGCATCTAGAGCTCTGTGTGTGGATTTTTTTCCCCCTTAATCTTTCAATGCATTAAAAGAACAATCTTGCAACAATGTGGAGCTATATTAGATGTGTGTGTTTAACCCAATCTGACCTGTGACCCTGGATATTGATTTACAAACTCAAGGTATCTTAAGTTGCTTTAGGAAAACAAAACCAAAGCACTTTGGATACATAGAAGCCCTGCCCTTGCCCTTGAGTGCTTCAGGAGTAGATAACTGATATATAAATCAAACACTGGGACAAATAAATGTAATTCAGGTTATCATCTTTGTGGCTTCTAAGAAAGAGGAAGTAGATAAATTACTAAGTCAATAACTGCTAGGGTAATACAATCTTACAGATAGGAAATGACATTCTCGTCATCTAATCTTCTGTGGCCAATCCTTGTTATACCTCACAGGCCTGTGAGGAACAACTAAGGGTTGATACGCAAATGTGTAACTCTATTTTAATGGCTATGGAGAGTCTGATACAGTGGTGGGATTCTACCGGTTCGGACCGGTTAAGGCGAACTGGTAGCTCCGACAGTCAGATGGGAGCAACCAGTTCATCCCGACGATCAGATGGGCCTGCCCGCCCGCGCTATTTTCCTACCTTTATCTCCTCAGCTGATTTGCGTGGCAGAGCCGATTGCCGTGCGAATCAGCTGTGTTTCTCCTCCGAAGAAACCCAGAAGTGAAGATTTCTTACTTCCAGACATGGACACATGAAAAAAACTGGCACAAATAAAAGGATATAAATAGGCAAAACATAGCCATAAACACATAGAATGATTACATATAAATGGGGACAGTAGGACAGGGACGGTAGGCACGCTGGTGCGCTTATGCACACCTCCTTAGGGACTTCTTAGGAAACATGAAAGGTCCACGGTAGACAGTTTAAGGTAAAAGGTATGGGGATTAGCGAGACTAACAACAGGATCAGGTAGAGCGTTCCAGACATTTACTACTCTTATTGCAGAAGTCATATTTCCTACAATCAAGATTAGAGCAAATTACATTTGAGTTTGAATCTTTTTTTTTTTTTTAATTTGATTTATATGCCGCCCTTCTCCGGAGACTCAGGGCGGCTTACAATGCGTTAAGCAATAGCCTTCATACTTTTGTATATTTATACAAAGTCAGCTTATTGCCCCCACAAACTGGGTCCTCAATTTACCTACCTTAGAAAGGATGGAAGGCTGAGTCAACCTTGAGCCTGGGGAGATTCGAACTTGCAGTAATTGCAGGCACCTGAATGTTAATAACAAGCTATTAGTCTGCTGCGCCACCAGGCTCTTCATTGATAGCCCTTGTGTTATTACAGTTGAAATTAAAGTACTTATTTACAGGTAGGACATTATGGTAAATAATCTTATGAACTAAGCACAGGTCGGAAAGTAGACGGCGTAGTTTGAGGTTATCCAGACCTAAAATTTCAAGCCTGGTGGTATAGGGAATTTTATTTTGAGCAGAAGATTTGAGTACTCTTCTAGTAAAATATCTCTGGAGCTTCTCTAATGTATTGATGTCTGAAATACACTGAGGGTTCCAGGCAGGTGAGCAGTAACCTTCCCCTAAAGTGGGACAGGAATGGAGATTTTGCAGTAATCTTCCCCTGGAGGGAATGGGAGTGGGAATGGAGATTAGTAGTAAAAAAATTTGAATTTCACTACTAGGCTTGGTGCTGGGGATGGATTGGGGCAGCAGCTAAACCCAACTTTGGAGGCCCTTTTTCCAAACTGGCCATATCCATCTGGCCAACTGGCCTTCATATTCATCTCCCCAGCTTCCCCCGTTGCTTAACTTTCATGCCCTGAATTAGTGCATAGTTTGACTGTATCCCTGATTCCCCATATTTCGTTTCTGTTTCTTAGAAAGAAGAACAAAAAAAATTTCCTAAGGTTGTGGAGCTCAGGAAATCAGGACCTCCAGTCGCTAAGGTAACCTTACTTGAAACCAGACTTCCCAACTGGGAATGGGAACCAAGAGATTGTGGTTGGGACAAGCTGCAATAAAGATATAAAGATAACTATGTCAGAAACTTTTCACATTCCTGAAAAGGCTGGCATTAGTGCTAAGAGACTATGTTTATGAAGGTAGTCCTCGAATTATGACCACAATTAAGCCCAAAATTTCTGTTGCTAAGTGAGACAGTTACGTGAGTTTTGCGTCATTTTTCAGCCTTTCTTGCCACAGTTGTTAAGTAACTCACTGCACTTGTTCAATTAGTAACATGGTTGTTAAGCAAGTCTGGCTTCCCCGTTGACTTTGCTCGTCAGAAAGTTGCAAAAGTTGATCATGTGGCACCAGGACACTACGACCGTCATAATTATGAGCCTGTTGTCAAGCATCCAAATTTTGTTCCTTGGAGCATGGGGACGCTGCAACGGTTGTTAAGTATGAAAAACGGTTGTCAGCCACTCTTTTCAGTGCCGTTGTAACTTTGAATGGTCATTAAACGAATTGTTGTAAGCGGAGAACTATCTGTAGCCATTGTCTCTGTGACTCCAGACCAGTTGCTTTCTAGAAACAACCCCCGGTCCATGGACCGACACTGGGCTGCAGTATGCCAGAAACAGGGCCGGGCAAACCAGCTATTCCCCATTTGTGGGATGCAGGTAGCACATGAAACCTTGACCCCTCTGGTCCATGGAAAAACTCTCTTCATGGAACTGGTCCCTGGTGCCCCAAAGATTGGGGGCTGCTGCAATAGACCATTGCTGACCACTGTGTCAACTCTGAAGTGAACCTGGCTGAAGCCATCTTGTGCTGCCTCATAGTTGCCACGAAGCCAGAGAGGGGGAAGGGAAGGGGGAAATAGATAGCCCGGCTATAGTCAAAACAGAAAAGTTTTCCCATGGGAACCAAGGTCATTGAAACAGGTGGCTGTTGAAAGAGGAGAGGAGCCTGCCTTCCATTTTCATTGGACAATGTGACCGGTGACACCGGGAAGGGGGGAGTTTTACTCTTTTAATTAGGTGAAAACAGCATGCATGTGCAGGGGGTCGTGCAGCAGCACAGGGGGCATTGCATTATGGGTGTGGGCACACACGAACCCCCCCCCCCACACACACACACACTGCACCCACTTTTGGCACGCGACGGCAAAAAGGTTTGCCATCCCTGCACTGGGTCATTAACTAGCTTAGTTGAATGTATTTTGGAAATATACGCCGGTCTATTGATAGGCTACCAAACCAAATGTTCATTTCCCCCCCCCCCCTCAGCGGAATCTGATTTTTAGAGGAGACATCCCATAAAAGAGGCTGTGCCTCCATCTATCTCCCTTTATTTATATCCAGGAACAGGGGAGGGGAGGGGGAAATTGCTTTTTCTCCAGGGCTAGATTCCTTGCAGAGTGCTGTTGAAAGGAAGCCAAGAGCTCATAGAGCCTCAGGGCAGCAAGTAGAAGGCCCTTACGATGATAAACAGATAGATGGAGAGGAAGAGAGTGCCCTAGCCTAGAAAGCTTGATAGGTTATGAGCTGGCAACATTATGATTCTAATGGGCCTACATTTACTGTAATTTTATTACCTGGTTTGAATGTCCGGTATGTCGAAACAACCTTTTAGAGGCTACAGATGGTCTCCTGAATGGATCTCAATTTAGAGGAGAGTCTGAGATAACGTACTATCTCTGCCAGCCTTCTCCACTTTGCTAGCATCCAAATTGTAGGACTAAAACTCTCCATCATCCACAGCCACAGGTGAGCAGAGGGAAGCCTCGCAGCACCAGATCCACAGTTGTAAAGAATAAGACAGATCCTCATTTAGCCAGCAGCTGTAGCAAAGGCAAAAGGAACCAGCAACCTATAATAATAATAATAATAATAATAACAGAGTTGAAAAGGACCTTGGAGGTCTTCTAGTCCAACCCCTTGCTTAGGCAGGATGCCCGGTGTTACGTACGCACGTACGGAGTACCGTATTTGCATACTGGACGTGATTGGTCCATCTAGCAGCGGAAAAAATAAACCACTGTCAGTGGCCAGCTAGGCTGACGGAACACTTTAAAAAGAGAGCTCCGGCAGCCTGCCGGCGAATCTACTGGGATCACGAGTCCATAATAAAGGCGCTGAAAGACTGTTCGCATCCTGCCTCTTCATTGCGCCCCCTCTATCTAACACCCTACACCACTTCAGACAAATGGTTATCCAATCTCTTCTTAAAAACGTCCAGTGTTGGAGCATTCACAACTTCTGAAGGCAAGATGTTCCACTGATTAATTGTTCTAATTGTCAGGAAATTTCTCCTTAGTTCTAAGTTGCTTCTCTCCTTGATTAATTTCCACCCATTGTTTCTTGTCCTGCCTTCAGGTGCTTTGGAGAATAGCTTGACTCCCTCTTCTTTGTGACAACCCCTGGAATACTATTTTATCCAGAGGCCTGCAAATAATTTCTCTTTATTACTAAGGGCTATATGGGGCTAGAGACAGGGCAGTGAATTCTTGGCATTTACTAGAGGGGGACAGTAATGGCATTCTACCTGATTTTCCTGTTTGGAGAGAACTGACCAGAAACTGTTCTGCTGCTTTTCAAAGTTTGCAATCGGTTTTCTGAGTCATGATTTGGGGGGTGTCACAAGGTCTACCAGAAAAGAGGTTGTATGGGTTGCACCTCATCCACGGATCGCCTCTCTTGATGTCAAGAATAACCTGGATGTTTGGCTGCAGAAGAACCAGATATAGGGTATTCTCTAAGAATACCTGTGGAGTGGATGATTAAGTTACTGTGACAGAAGCAAGAAGTCTTTCAACCACAGAAAGTGAAATCAAAAGCTCTGCATATCTATCAGCTGACCAATGATAAGAGGGAAAAAGAGGAGTAAAAGAATGGAATGGAATGGAATGGAATGGAATGGAATGGAATGGAATGGAATAGAATAGAATAGAATAGAATAGAATAGAATAGAATAGAATAGAATAGAATAGAATAGAATAGAATAGAATAGGTTGGAAGGGACCTTGGAGGTCTTCTAGTCCAACCCCTGCTCAAGCAGGAAACCCTATGTCATTTCCAGAAAGATGCTGGAAGAACTTGCTAGCATGAAGCATGAATTTTGATCATGTGACCATGGGGATGCTGTCACGGTCGTAAGTGTGGGAAAAATGATCATAAGTCCATTCAGCGTCCATAAGTCCATTCAGCGATGTCGTAACTTTGAACGGTCACTAAATGAACTGTTGTAAGTTGAGGACTGCCTGCAATAGGATAACTCTTACTAACATTCTTTGGGCAAAGATCTCTCTCATCTGTCACATCTGTTTTCCAGTCACTCATGTTTGTTCTCTTTTCAGGCCAACTCCCGAGGAAGCCCAAGAATGGGCAGAATCTTTAGAAAAACTGCTACTACACCCATGTAAGTTTACACACAAGCGGTTCGTCAACCTTTTAAAGGGATTGTTTGACACACAGTTTTTACAGATTTCGCGGGTGTCTTTTTCACAGACTGGTGTTCGAAAATTAGGAGGTTAGTTAGTCATCCCGAGAAGCTTTGTTTATTTCAGATGGTTTCTTGGCACCAATGCAGCCCGCTTCGTAATAATAACCATTAATGTTGATTCCCAGAATTCCAACTGCTAGAGAGCAAAGGCCAATATGTAAATAACAGCCTTGTTCATAACAATTGCCCGGGCCTTGCCAAATGAGTTTAATCCTGTTTTCCTCAGAATCAAGCTTTCTCAGAAATCCTGTGGGACATGAAGAAAAGTCCAAATTAGTAGAGGAACAATCCAGCGTACAGCAGAGCAAAAAGTAATTGGAATGGCTGAATTCCGATGAACTGGCTTATTTGGCAGGATATCTACCTGGCATCCTCTTTAGGTCAAGATTCAGCAACTTCCGCATTCCTAGGAACAGGACTGATGGCCAACAGACATGTCGCTTTACAAATCCTTTGTTTTCAGGTCCGGATGTGATGTGAGCTTTACAGTAGTGGCCAAAATTGTGGGAACCTTTTTGGGAAAAGTGTATTTTTGAGGTCTGGTGGCTAATAACACCACTTTTTTGGGGGGGGGGAGTTTCAAGATATTCCACTGCTGGAATGGCCTGGGAATAGCCCAGACCTTAACTTAACCCAATTGAAAATCTATGGAGCCGACTAAAGAAACTTGTTAGTCAGAAGCGATCCAGCAATAAAACCCAGTTAATAGAAGCAACCATTTTTTTTTTTAAATTTGATTTATATGCCGCCCTTCTCCGAAGACTCAGGGCGGCTTACAATGTGCTCAGCAATAGCCTTCATCCTTTTGTATATTTATACAAAGTCAGCTTATTGCCCCCACAAACTGGGTCCTCATTTCACCTACCTTAGAAAGGATGGAAGGCTGAGTCAACCTTGAGCCTTGGTTTCACATTAGAACAGCTGCAGAACTAAAAGACTTGGTTCACTGCATGGGAAGACGTTGTAAGGCCGTCATTCATGCTAAAGATGAGCCAACTAAGTATTAACTGACATGGTGATAATTTTTGTATATCTCATTTTTTCTAGGGTGATAATTTTTGTATATCTCATTTTTTCTACGTGTTTCACTTTTCTTCTTTATACCGTAACTGCTATTCTAATAGCAAATCCTTCATAAAAGTTATTGCATGGCATTCTTGATTAAATTATATTTCCATTGATATATATTTTATGGTACTACTACTCCAAAAAAAAATGGCGTTATTAGCTAGTTTTAGAAAATACACTTTTCCCAAAAGGTTTCCACAATTTTGGCCACTATTGTAATTCTCAAGGGATCTGCAGACCATCATGAGGGGCCTGGAAGTGGGGAATGAAATCATTTAATTGTTCCTGACAGTTAGAATAATTAATCAGTGGAACAACTTGACTCCAGAAGTTGTAAATGTTCCAACACTGGAAGTTTTTAAGAAGAGATTGGATAACCATTTGTCTAAAGTGGTGTAGGGTTTACTGCCTAAGCAGGGAGTTGGACTAGAAGACCTTCAAGGTCCCTTCCAACTGTTATTCTATTCTATTCTATTCTATTCTATTCTATTCTATTCTATTCTATTCTATTCTATTCTATTCTATTCATTTAGGGTTCTAGATTATATAATATACTGTTATGACTTTCTTGAACAGGACATGTTTTGGCTATGATCTAGGAATAGATGAGAATGCCCCCTCTCTGGCATTAATACATAGCAGAGCTAGAAGAAAATCTTCCTTCTCTGGATTGAACTATACTGTACCTCCCATTATTCCCATCCCACAGTGCTTTTGGCTATAGTTGGAGATCATTGTAGTCGAACATAACTACAGGTCGTCCTTGACTTGCAACAGTTCATTTAGCGACCATTAAAGTTACAACAACACTGAAGAAAGCGTCTCATGACCATTTTTTCACCTTTTTACAACCATTGTTGTAAACCATTGAGGCATCTCCAGTGGTGGGATTCAGCCAATTCAGGCTCATTCGGGTGAACCGATTGTTAAATTGCTGGCTGGCGCCATCCCTCTCTGCCCTACCCCTTCCAGGAGTCCCCCCGCGCCCCGTTTTGGCTCCTGGGAGGCCTACTAGGTCCAAAAAAGGGCACGCGGGTGCGGCGCGTTCCCCCCCGCGACACATTTTTGCTCCCAAGAGGCTGCAGGGAGGCCTCCTTTTGCGACCTTCCAATCGGCAAAGTCAACGAGGAAGCCAGATTCACTTAACAACCACATTACTAACTTAACAGCTGCATCAATTCGCTTAACAACTGTGGCAAGGAAAGTCATAAAATGGGGCAAAATTTACTTTAACGACAGTCTTGCTTAGCAAGAGGAATTTGGGGCTCAATTGTGATCGTAAGTCGAGGACTACATGTAGCGAGGTTAACAAAAGCTATTACAGCTAATAGCTATCCTCATACATTGTTTTTATTTCATTTTTTTTTTCCTTCTGGTGGTTACAGTATAAAACTCCAAACCACACAAGTGTTCACTAATAAAAAAAAAATCATAACTCTTATTGAAAAAAAACACAGCATAAAAATCTATATAAAGAGGCTCATTATTAAGTATCATTCTCTCTGTGTTAAGTAGGTATTCAAGGGCAGCCTCTTCAGATCAGATTTTTAAGAGCTCATCATCCACAGAGCAATGCATAATTTTCAACAATTATAGAGAATCAAATATTTAGATAGCAATCTGCTATGCCTATCCCTAGACTGCGCTGTAGTAAGCTTCCCAAAATTCAGAGGGGGGTTTCATGTGGATTTGATGCTTCCGGAATGTCGCCACTCATTTCTTAAAAGTTTTGTGTCTGCGAGGCAAGAGAGTTTTTTTTTAAAAAAAAAAAGTCTACAGGTAGTCCTCGACTTACGACCACAACTGTGCCCAAAAATTTTTGTTGGTAAGTGAGACAGTTAGTCAGTGAGTTTTGCCCCATTTTACAACCTTTCTTGCCACTGTTGTTAAGTGAATCACTGCAGTTGTTAAGTCAGTAACAGGGTTATTAAGTGAATCTGGCTTTGCTTGTCAGAAGTTCGCAAAAAGGGATGACATGACCCCAGGACACTGCAACCGTCATAAATATGAGTCAGTTGCCAAGATCTGAATCACGTGACCATGGGAATGTTGCAATGGTCGTAAGTATGAAAAACGGTCATATGTCACTTTTTTCAGTTCCATTGTAACTTTGAGCCATCACTAAACAAACTGCGGTAAATCAAGGACGACCTACTAACATCTTCTCTTGTCATAAAACATCCACTATCGCTTGGTAACCTGAAGTAGGAAAAAAAAAATCCATGCAATAAAATGCAGAATTTATTCCAAGCGGAATTAATAGAATTTCTAAATATTTTACATTAAAAAAAAGAAAAAGGGGGGAAGATTTCAATAGATTGTTTTGGTCTGTTCATCTCCACATTATAGATGGTCGAGCTGCCTTCCATGCTTTCTTGAAATCAGAATTCAGCGAAGAGAACCTGGACTTCTGGATGGCCTGTGAAGATTATCGAAAACTCCGAGGGTGTGACAAACTCCAGGAGAGTGCAAAAAAGATTTTTGACCAATATATCACCATCCAAGCTCCAAAAGAGGTAGGGGAATATTAAAGTTTCCTTTGAATTTGTAGACTCGGTGTGAAATGGGATGGACTTGTTAGAGAAAACCATTATTCCATGCTTTGCATTTTATCAATACACATACCGTATTTTTCGGAGTATAAGACGCACCTTTTCCCCCCAAAAAGGAGGATGAAAATCTGGGCGCGTCTTATACTCTGAATGTAGCCCCACCCAGCTTCTCAAAGGGAGGTTTCAGAGGCTGTAAAAAGCATCAGAAAAGAAGCTTCAGAAAAGAAGCCCCCAACAGAGCTTCAGAGGCTTTTTTTCTGAAGCTCTGTTTCAGAAGTTTCAGAGGCAGAAAAAAAAGCAAGGTCCAGAGCTCACAACCAAGGAACCTGTTGCTAAAGTTCACCTCTGGGAACAGCTGATTGGGGGTATTCCGATCCACCTGCCAATCAGCTTTTTTCTTATTTTCCTCCCCAAAAACTAAGGTGCTTCTTATACTCTGAAAAATACGGTATGTTGCAACAGAGTTCATAACAGAACAACAGAGTTGGAAGGGACCTTGGAGGTCTTCTAGTCCAACCCCCTGCTCAAGCAGGAGACCCTATACCATTCCAGACAAGTGGCTGTGCAATCTCTTCTTAAAAACCTCCAGTGATGAAGCACCAGAGGTCGTATTCAGCCGGTTCATACGGATTCAGGCGAACCGGTAGCGGAAATCGCTCACTCTATGCTGTCCCATTTAGGCACATTTTTTAAGTCGGGTGCATGCGCAGAAGATGCACACACAAGCAAAGCACATGAGTGGAAGGCTGGGCGCATACGTGGAAGGCACATGTGTGCAGTGAACCGGTGGTAACAAAATGTGAAACCTACTGCTGTGGAACACCCACAACTTCTGAAGGGAAGCAATTCCACTGGTTCATTGTTCCCACTGTCAGGAAGTTTCTCCTTAGTTCTAGGTTGTTTCTCTCCTTAGTTAGTTTCCATCCATTGCTTCTTGTCTGGCCTTCTGGTGTTTTGGAGAATAGCTTGATTCCCTCTTCTCTGTGGCAGCCCCTCAAATATTGGGACACTCCTATCATGTCACCCGTAGTTCTTCTTTTCACTAGACTATGCATATCCCAATTCCTGCAACTGTTCTTCATGTTTTAGCCTCCAGCAGCCCCTAATCATCTTGGTTGCTCTTCTCTGCATGCCTGCATATGTATTGCCGCATATATAGCAGTGGTGAAATGTAAAATTTGTTACTACCGGTTCTGTGGGAATGGCTTGGGGGGGGGTGTAATGAGACTGGGTGAGTATGGCCAACTTCCTTTTTTTTTTAAAGCATTTTTTCTACGACCTTAAGAGGTTGCAGAAAAAAATGCTTTTAAAAGCCTCTGATGATCAGGCAACTCAGCTGGGATCGTCAGAGGCTTTTAAAGGCATTTTTTTTCCCACAATCTCTTCGGCCGAAGAGGTTGTAGAAAAAATGCTTTTAAAAGCCTCTGACAATCCCACCTGAGCCGCGCGATCATCAGAGGCTTTTTTTTTTACTTTTAAAAGCATTTTTTCGGCCGAAGAGGTTGTAGAAAAAATGCTTTTAAAAGTAAAAAAAAAAGCCTCTGATGATTGTGTGGCTCAGCTTGGCATGGGGGGGCGGGGGGGGGCAGGGATTTTTGCTACCAGTTCTCCAAACCACCCGCCACCATCGCTACCGGTCTGAACCGGGAGCATTTCACCCATGATATATAGGCATTTCAAATTTTTGTATTTCATCATTTGAATAGATTTTTTTTTTCTTATTCCTTTCTTACAAAGTTTTTTTTTCTTTGTACTAATCCAGACAAACGGGTGTCTCTGTACCAAGCCACACAGAACAAATCTCATATATTCATGCTGGTGGCCAATCAAATAATAGAATAGAATAGAATAGAATAGAATAGAATAGAATAGAATAGAATAACAGAGTTGGAAGGGACCTTGGAGGTCTTCTAGTCCAACCCCTTGCTCAGGCAGGAAACCCTACACCACTTCAGACAAATGGTTATCCAACATCTTCTTAAAAACTTCCAGTGTTGGAGCATTTACAACTTCTGGAGGCAAGTTGTTCCACTGATTAATTGTTCTACTGTCAGGAAATTTCTCCTTAGTTCTAGGCTGCTTCTCTCCTTGATTAGTTTCCACCCATTGCTTCTTGTCCTGCCCTCAGGTGCTTTGGAGAATAGCTTGACTCCCTCTTCTTTGTGGCAGCCCCTGAGATATTGGAACACTGCTCTCATGTCTCCCCTAGTCCTTCTTTTCATATTGACCTTGCTTTTTTGTAGTGCTTTATCATGATCCGTGTGTCCTTTGGAAAGCTAGAAAGGAAGGGATGCCAATGAAATGAAAGATTCAAAACAGTGCTTCACAGTGGCATTGTCAACCCTGAAGTGAACCTGGCTGAAGCCATCTTGGAGGCTTCAGGGTTGCCACGCAACGGTGGGAGGGGAGAAATAGTTAGATGGGGTTTTGTAGCCTGAACAATAAAGTTTTCCTGTGGGAACCAAGGACATTCTCACAGGTGGCTGGCCAGAGGAGGAGCAAGTAACCAAGCAACCAGCCAGCACCCGGATTGGACAGCGTGACCAGTGACTTGGGGGGGGGAAGGGGAAACTTTTACTTTTAATCAGGTGAAAGCCACGAGAAAATTCAGAGTCGGCTTTCACCAATTGTGCCAATATGAAGTATCCAATAAACTGTTCCTTGAGGAACCTGCCTATCTCGGAGTTCTGATTTCTATGGGTGCATTACTTGAAACGCTGACAGATATGATGGAGGAGGTGAACGCATTTCTCCAGTTGTTTTTCTGAACCAGAGAGTCCCTGGGCTCTGCTGTTGTTTTCAAGAGATTAGCAAAGAGGAAGTCAGAGAATGACGTTAATACTCAAACAGGGTCGTCGAGGACAGTACAGGGCCATATCATTGCACCTGTTCCTCCTACTGCTCAGCTAATTTTAGGACTATACTGTATGTCACTGAAAGTTGCAGGACATCTAACTTGGAAACATCCAGCTTTCCTTGGACTTATGACTTCAATTTTGGTCCTAAGTCAATTCAAATCTTTATTCAACATATGTACAATGAGATTGGTTGAGCTCCCTAAGTGCACCCACCCCAACACAATACCACTCACAGTGAAGACAGAAAATCCCTAACCCAATAAATCATATTAACAAAACACTCAGTCCTATTGTATCAATGTCAAGACAGTTGATAAGAAGGTCACACCACACGATCATGCCTCATTTTACAACCTTTTTTGTAGCGGTCATTAAGCAAACTTGGCAATCATGAAGTTTGGCAGAAACTGGAATTAAACACCGGTTTCTGGCAAAAATGTTGTAAATTTTTAAGGTTTAGAAGTATGGAAAATAAAATAAAATAAAATAAAGTAAAGTAAAGTAAAGTAAAGTAAAGTAAAGTAAAATAATAAAATAAAATAAAATAAAATAAAATAAAATAAAATAAAATAAAATAAAATAAAATAATAAAATAAAATAAAATAAAATAAAATAAAATAAAATAAAATAAAATAAAAATAATAAAATAAAATAAATAAAATAAAATAAAATAAAATAAAATAAAATAAAATAAAATAAAATAAAATAAAATAAAATATAAATATTGTGTTTCCCCAAAAATAAGACCCTGTCTTATATTTTTTTGAACCCTGAAATAAGCACTTGGCCTTATTTCCATGTGCTCAAAAGCCCAATTGGGCTTATTATCAGGGGATGTCTTATTTTGGGGGAAACAGGGTAATAATAATAATAATAATAATAATAATAATAATAATAATAATAATAATAATGAATTTCTTCAACCAGATGCAATTGAAGGAAGGGGGGGGGCACTAACATGCCAGCTGTGTCAACACTTGTTCTGGATCAGCATTTATTGATTAATAATCTTTATCTGCAGGTTTCTAAATTTTGAACTCACAACATCTTTAGTTTCCAGTCCCTGAGGGGATTTTTTTTTTCCCCCGGCTCCTGCAAATAAGTTTTATTGGTGTTTAAACAAATCACAGCTGCAGCCACTTTGTATCATGTGGATAATCATTTGCATTTAATTTCAGGTGAACCTTGATTCCCAGACCAGAGATGTCACCAATCGGAACATTTTGCTTCCCACCCGGTCTTGCTTTGACCAAGCCCAAAAGAGGATCTTTGGGTTGATGGAGAAAGATTCTTATCCTAGATTCCTTCGTTCTCTCGTCTATCAAGATCTGGTACAGCCTGATAAAGAGCAGCCGAATGGCCCCTTGTAAACCTGCCGTATTCGCCCTTCCTCTTCTTTTCAAGCCCACCTAACAAAGGAGACACCTGGAGACGGCTTTGCTGTTCTGGATACGGACAAGCCAAGGAAGTTTGGGAGAAATGGACTGCCTATTCTGTTGAGATGGCGAACGTGCCCCGTTCATAAACATTATAGAGGATAAAAGAAATGATGGGCTCTTGCTCATTTGGCACTGGATAAGTGGCTTTGAGGGGTCCTTGGTGCTCTCTGAGCTTGCTTGTTTTCTTGTAGACCTTCCATTCCCCAAACTAGGTAACATCATCAGTGCTAGTACAAGTGGCTTTTTTGGGGACTTCAGTAAAATATTAGAATTCTAGAAGGACAAGCAGAAATCGTGCCCGTTTGGTTCGTACCAAAACGAACGAAAGCAACTTTATGTCAGGGCCTATAAAGCTGGGTGATGCCTGCACTGCTGCTGGGATGATATTGCTCAGGTTAGAAAAATGAAATTGTTAGCTGCCTACTGTATTTATAAGTCTGTTTCAGCTTGTTTCTCCTCCGACGGGCAGAAATTCTCCAATGTCTTAGAGAAGAGTGTTTTCCGTACCCTGTCGTTATAGAAATAATTTGGGATTGAGGTTGGGACCTTTGTGTGTTTGTCACCCTCGGTGTGTGAAATTAGGCATTTTATAGACTGCCTAGAACAGGGTCTCTCCCACCTGCAGGCCGCGGACCACTAATGGGCCGTGAGGGGTTTGTAACCGGGCTGTCGAAACGGCCAATGCACGCGCACTCCGTTTAAGTGAGCGGCAGGTGTGTCTGCATGCCACTCATACAAATGGAGCTGCGCACATGCGCGCTTGCTAGCCGCTCACACGGAAACATCCCTTCTCCCCCTCCCTCCTGTCGGTCAGCAAAGCCGGAAACATTGGCGAATTCTGGCCTAGGAAATGTATAGAAAGCCAAAAATGGGATGTCGAAGCATGAAACGCTTAATGTTTCATAGATTTCCTGGGCACTCTATGCAATGCCAAAAGGCAAACAGGCAAAGGATAAAATACTCCCACTGAAAAGGCATTCTAGGATTCCTTATTGCAACATGTAGGTCAGAAATGGTATTCTTTTCTTATTTATGTTTTTTCAGTAGGAAAAGTCCTGTTGTACTTTGCATTGCATGTCTTCGATCATTTTGATCTACGTCTTTTCAGTAAAGGGTTAGGATTAGGGTTAAGTATGAAAGGAGAGTCATGACTTTTCGTGACTCTCTTTTTCATCCTTTGCCTAAATAGTTTTTGTCAGTCTGCATAATGCCTAGGTATTATATACAATGCCTGGGAAATTTATACTGGTAGTCCTTGACTTGCAACAGTTCATTTAAGAGCCGTGGCAGCGCAGTGGTTAGAATGCAGTACTGCAGGCTACTTCTGCTGACTGCCGGCTGCCTGAAATTTGGCAGTTCAAATCTCACCAGGCTCAAGGTTGACTCAGCCTTCCATCCTTCCAAGGTCGGTAAAATGAGGACCCAGATTGTTGGGGGGCAAATATACTGACTCTGTAAACCGCTTAGAGAGGGCTGTAAAGCACTGTGAAGCGGTATATAAGTCTAAGTACTATTGCTGTTTAGCGACCACTCGAAATTAACAGCACTGAAAAAAAGCGACATGGCCATTTTTTACACTTATGTCTGTTGCAACACCCCTACGATCACATGATCAAAATTTAGACATTTGGCAATAGACTCGTATTTATGACAGTTGCAGTGTCCCGGGATCATGTGATCACCTTTTGCAGCCTTCTCCCGAGCAAAGTCAATGGGGAAGATGAATTCACTTAACAGCCATGTTAGTAACTTAACAACTTCAGTGATTCACGTAACAAGCGTGGCAAGAAAGGTCATAAAATGAGGCAACATTCGCTTAATAACTGTCTCAACAACAGGGGTCCATTTTGGTCGTAAGCAGAGGACTACCTGAATAGAATATTTAAAGTAACGCAGACATTTTCATCCTTTGCCTGAAAACGTCATGCGTTCTATAGATTTCCTCAGCACTCTATATACAATGCCAACTTTTCGCATATTGCCGGTTAACATCTTCCCAAGGAAATTCTGCCTCCGTTCCCTCCCCAAGTTCATACTGTGCCCGTGTGGAATTTGGTGGGGTGTCTGGCATTGACAATCGACCATTCGTCAAGAAGGAATGGCAGGAATGTCATAAGAATGCAGTACGTGATTCTTTTCAAATTTCCAGGTGAATAGAAGCTGGAAGCATGACTCTGTAGCTGTCAAGTCTGCCCTAGCTGGGCACGACCAAAGAATTAAAAACGGTTCAGTAAAGTCTCTTTATTGTTTGGCGTAAATAGGGAACCTTGGAAAGTGTGTTAGGAATTTTCCAGCCTCGTTGATTATCAGTCTCTCTGAAGATGCTTTTCCCGCCACCCTTCTCCTCACCTGGATTGAGTTGCAGATGATGAGATAAGGTTTCAACTGATTCACCCGTTGAAATCTTCCACTGCTTCCCCGGCCTTTACACAACCCCTCACACTGGCCTAGGGACTCCGTGGTCAGACTTTCTGTATGCATTTGGACAAGGGTGGGCTTCAAAAATTTTAGCAAGGGGATCTCTGCCTGGTTACTGGGTGGGCATAGCCTAGTTGGCCTCCTGCACCACGGCGGGGTGTGTGTGTTTTTGCCCTCCCCAGGCTCCAGAGGCTTTCCTCGAGCCTCTGGGAGGGCAAAAACTGCCTCCCCAGGCTCCAGAGGCCCTCCAGAGGCCAGAAACAAGCCCGTTTCCGGCCTTCCCAAACTTCCAATAGGCCTGTTTTTTTTCCCTCCCCGGGCCTCCATGCATGCCCTGCACTTACCTGCATCCAAAATGAGCCACATAGGGACTCCTGGGAGGGGAGGGATGGGGTGGGCAGGGCCAGCCAGGACTGAGATTTGGAGGTTCTCCGAACTACACAGAATCTTAGCTAGAGGTTCTCCCGAACCCCTGCAAACCCCCAGCAACCCACCCCTGCATTTGGACCTCAGAAGCTTCCTGAAGCACCAAAACGGAACAAAAAAAGATGGCAGCCTTCCGGTATGTGAGCCTAAGCTATCTTGAAGAAGATCTGAGATTGTTATTCTCTGTTTTTGAGGTACCTCAAGACAGGCCGCCGCCTTCTCTTTCCAAGATGCGCTACATTTGCTCGTTCACAATTCATGCCTCGTTTTGCCTGTCAGATAAAAATGAATAGTGTTCCGCTTTTTTAGCTAAGCTGAAGAAACATTTGCTTCTCTCTTCATACTGCAGTAACAGCTGAAACAGCCGTGGCATTTCTTCTCCGAAAGTCCTGCCTTCCAGTAGCATCTAACGTGTAAGAACTGCGGAGGACTAAATCTAGTTTTTTAACTTGGATTCAGTTCCCACCCGGATGAATAAGGTCTCGAACACAGTAATTGGCAAGAAGGTTAGAGTCTGAGGTGGGCCAAATTTAGTAGGTCTACTAAATTTAGTAATCTACTGAGCCAGCTAGAGCAGGATAAGCAAGCAATGTAATGATGGACCTCTCTTCCATTGGCAGAGAATTGTATTAAATGACCTCATCAGCCTTCCCAGATAAAGCACACCAGAAACAACCGGATGAGCTATTTATTGCAATGCTACATTAACAGAATCTTGCAAGTCTGAAAATACACATCTCCCACCCCCTCTCTCCTTTACAATCTGAGAAATTAGGGAGGGTACCTTCTGAGCCTCTTTCTCTGTCCATTATGCAGCTGCTGGTTATGCCCTCTCTTCTCTGACCATTCTCTAGGCAGCATCTCTTCCTCCCATCCCGTCTCCCAAGGCCTTTCTCATGCACCATTACAGACCTTTAAAAATACCTTCCAACTCAATGATAATATTCACTTCGGCTTTCAATGCAAGATGCTAGCTTACTCAAACGAGCTCAGAGATGGCGGGAGGGAAATGTGGGTGTCAGGGTTCCAAGAAACACCCCCAACGAAATAAAATTCTGAGGCCTGAGGTTCCTCAAAGTTCCAATTTATTAGAGATGTCATGTTGGCACATCTGGGAAAACCCGAATCTGAAAGCTTCCAGGTTTTCTCCACCCAGCTAACAGTTCACAGCCCTGCCCCACACCCACAAGTTCGTCACATTGTCCAATCAACTCTTCACACTCAACTGGATAGAATCTTCAGGCAGTCTCCATCAGATGGAGGCAAAAGTCCTTGAATACGGAATGTTGTTATGACTAACTTTCTACCGCTCCAACAACAACCCCCTCCCAACTTCCCCAGCTAAAATATGTGGCAGTTTAGAAGCAAAAAAGAAAATTGTCTTCCAAAACTGACAGTGGGTTACGTCAGTCAGGAAGCTAGCTGAACCTTAAATAATCATTGGACACCCCAGGAACGGCCTGGTTTTCTCCAGATACAACCGATTCCAGTGCCACCTCATGATCCAGTTGAATAAGGGACATTCCAACCCAATCTGCATTTGAGTACGGTCTTTGAGTATGGTCCTGCATGGTCTACATCCAGGTTTGCAATGAACTCAGTTACAAAAGTAAACTCTGCTAAGGTTTATTTTTTGCCAGAGTTTCAAAGATGTCACTTGCTGTTGTACTTATTAAAGTCCTTTAATGGGAATATCATTACTCAGAAAGCCAGTAGGGGGTGATGAGTGTCCTCTTATTTTGCTTGCAATCACAGATGACACCTGGTGGCCTATTCCCCAACCTGCCTGCCAGATTTATTTATTTATTTATTTATTTATTTATTTATTTATTTATTTATTTATTTATTTATTTATTTATTTATTTATTTATTTATTTTTAAATTTGTATACCGCCCTTCTCCCTGAGGACTCAGGGCGGTGAACAGCCAAATAAAAACATAAACTACAAACATTAAAATACAATTAAAAAGATATATATAAATTTGGCCCCATGATTAAAAACAATAACAAACAATTAAAAACATTTTAAAAAGTGTTAGGCCAGCCCAGCTTGCTGGAAAAAGAAGGTTTTAAGGACACGGCAGAAGGCACCGAGGTCTGAGCAACAGCTCCAGTCATTCTCAGGCGCTGTTGTCTTATGTTGTGGCACAGATTGGGGAGGATGTTTATGTGTTGAAATTTTTTTTTAACACTACCTCGGCCTTAAAAGTCTCCAGAAGCCACAACAGCAACAAGCCAAGCAGAAATATGGTGATCCGAGAATTACGTTATAATTGGCTATTGCAGATTTGGTATCGGTAGCTCTCCCACCAATCAGGTGATAGTTGGCCAATGGTTTCTTCCTGTAGGGTGAATTATGTTTGTGCTGGGACATGCAGCTTGTGTGTCCATGCGCCTTGGTGGCGCAGTGGTTAGAATGCAGTACGGCAGGCTAATTCTGCCCACTGCCAGCAGTTCAATTCTGACTGGCTCAAGGTTGGCTCAGCCTTCCATCCTTCTGAGGTCAGTAAAATGAGGATCCAGATTCTTGGGGGCAATAGGCTGACTCTGTAAACCGCTTAGGGCTTTAAGGTACTATGAAGTGGTATCTTTCTTTTCTTCTTTCTTTCTTTCTTTTATTAGATTTATATACTGCCCTACTCCCGAAGGACTCAGGGCGGTGAACAGGCACAAAATAAAATACATAAATACAAAAGTTAAAAGATATAATTAAAACCAAATTAAATAATTTAGCCCAAGACAATTAAAAAATTCCAATAATTTAAACAAATTAAAATTTCGATATAAAAGAATTTTAAAACGGGAGAAAATTAGGCCAGGCAGGCTTGCTGGAATAGAAGAATCTTAAGAGCACGGCGGAAAGTGTGTAGATCCGGGATCCTCCATATCTCTGGGGGGAGCTCGTTCTAGATAGTGGGTGCCCCCACAGAGAAGGCCCTCCCACTGGAGGCCGCCAGTCGACATTGTTTAGCTGACGGCACCCGGAGGAGCCCCTCTCTATGAGAGAGTACCGGCCAGTGGGAGGCTGCTTGTGGTAGTAGGCGGTCCCGTAAATAACCAGGTCCTAAGCCATGGAGCTTATAACAGTCTAAGTGCTATTGCTACATGTTTAGCTGAAATAATTTCTCAGCATTTCTGCATGCAGGTTACTTCACTGAGTGTTTCATTTCACATCAGAAACACAGTGGTTACCTGTACAATTACAAGGGTGGAGGTATTTATTTTTAAATGGACATACTTATTTATTTATTTATTTATTGGTTCAATTTATATGGCGCCCTTTTCCGGAGACTCAGGGCGGCTTACAATGCGTTAAGCAGTAGCCTTCATACTTTTGTATATATACCTGCTTAGTAAGACTTTCGCTCCCCCCCCCCCCCAGCGGTGTTCTTTTTTATACAAAGTCAGCTTATTGCCCCCACAATCTGGGTCCTCATTTTACCTACCTCGGAAGGATGGAAGGCTGAGTCAACCTTGAGCCTGGTGAGATTTGAACTTGCAGTAATTGCAGGCAGCTGGTGCTATTTAACAGCACTTTAGTCTGCTTCGCCACTAAGGCTCTTAATAATAATAATGATTAATAATTATAATATAATAATAATATAATAATAATAATACAGGTGATCCGCGACTCTTGGCTCAATTGTGGTCATAAGTTGAGGACTACCTCTATAAGAAGATACCGTGTTTCCCCAAGGTTTGAGGTTATGTGCTCAAAAAGACACATAAGAGCTTATTTTCTGGTTAGGTCTTATTTTGGGGAAAATACGGAACCAAATGCACCCATCTGGCTGACAATCTTAACTGTGGCTTATTTTGGGGGTAGGACTTATATTACGAGCATCCTGAAAAATCATGCTAGGACTTATTTTAAGGTTGGGTTTTATTTTTGGGGAAACAGGGTATCTGAACATGGTTCTTTCAGTTTAGCATTTATATTCCACCATGCTGGCTGCATTCACACAACATCCCAAGCTGTGTTACTTTTAACTTGCATCACCAATAAATCATAAACGGCCCAGAGTTGCTCTGTTGGGAGGAGCTGGGCAGTTTCTAATATGAAATGGAAATTAATTAATTAATTAACCACTTTAATTCACACAACATGTTCCAAACTGTGGCCTAGATTCATCTCGGTGCAATATTACTTTTGGCTAGGCTTTTTCTGCGGATGAGAGTCAGTGAATAAATTTTGATATGATTTAGAGCCATGGTGGCACAGTGGTTAGGATGCAGCATTGCAGGCTAATTCTGCTGATTGCCAGCAGTTTGATTCTCACCGGCTCAAGGTTGACTCAACCTTCCAACCTTTCGAAGTCAATAAAATAAAATGAGGACCCGGATTGTGAGGGGCAATAGGCTGATTCTGTAAACTGCTTAGACAGGGCTG